TCTTCCCGGACCAGGGCACGAACCCGTGTCCCCTGCATCGGCAGGCAGACTCTCAAGCACTGTGCCACCAGGGAAGCACTCTACAAAAATTTTTTTAAAAAATTAATGCCAACTCCTGAGAGCTCTTCCAGAAAACTGAAGAGGAGGGAACACTTTCAAATTCATTTTAAGAGGTCAGCATTATCCTGATACCAAACCCAGAAAGACACTACAAGAAAAGAAAACTGCAAGCCAATATCCCTGATGAACACAGATGCAAAAATCTCAACAAAATATTAGCAAACTGAATTCAATAGCACATTAAAAGAATTATACACCATGACCAAGTGGGATTTATCCCTGGAATGCAAGGATGGTTCAACATACAAAAATCAATCAATGTGATACACCACATTAACAGAAAGAAAGATAAAATCACATGATCATCTCAGTAAATGCAGAAAAGGCATTTGACAAAATTAAACATCCTTTCATGATAAAAAAATACTCAATGAACTAGGAATAGAAGGAAATTACCTCTATATAATGCAGATCATATATGAAAAGTGCACAGCTAACATCATTCATACACAACAGTGAAGAACTGAAAACTTTTCTTCTAACATCAGGAATAAGGAAGGCAAGGATGTCCACTCTTGCCACTTTTATTCAACATAACATTGGAAGTCCTAGCTACAGCAATTAGACACGAGAAAGACAAAAAAGACATCAAAATTGGAGAGATACAAAATCAACATATAAAAAGCAATTGTTTCTATACAATAAAAATGAATAATCCAAAAGGAAAATTAAGAAAACAATTCCATTTACAATATCATCAAAAAGAACAAAATACTAGGAATAAATTTAACCAAGGAAGCTAAATAGTTGAACACTAGAAACTACAAATCACTGCTGAAAGAATTTAAAGACACAAATAAATGGAAAGACATCCCATGTTCATGGATTAGAAGATGTAATACTGTTCATACTACTCAAAGTGATCTACAAATTCAGTGCTATTCCTATCAAAGTCTCAACGGCATTTTTTGAAGAAACAGAAAAAACAATCCTAAAATTCATGTGAAACCACAAAGAACCCTGAATAGCAAAAATAATCTTGAAAGAGAACAAAGCTGGAGGCTTCACACTCCTAACTTCAAAATATATTACAAGCCTACAGTAATCGAAACAGCATAGTACTAGCAGACAGATAGACCAATATAACAGAATAGAGATCCTAGAAATAAACCCACACAAATACAGTAAAATAATCTTCAAACAAGGGTGCCAAGACTACACAATGGGAATAGTCTCTTCAACAAATGGTACTAGGAAAACGAAATATCTCATGCAAAAGAATGAAATTGGACCCTCATCTTACATCATATACAGAAATCAACTCAAAATGGATTAAAGACTCCCGTATGATCCAAAAATCTCACTTCTGGATATTTATCCAAAAGAACTGAAAACAGGATCTCAAAGAGATATTTGCATTCCCATGTTCATTGGAGCTTTATTCACAATAACAAAGAGGTGCAAACAACCTAAATGTCTACTGATGATTGAATGGATAAAGAAAATGTTGTATATACATTGAATGAAATATTATTTTGCCTTAAATATGACAAGGAAATCCTGTCATATGCTACATAATGGATGAACCTTGAGGACATTATTATGCTAAGTGAAATAAGCCAGTCACAGGAAAAATACTGCATGATTACACTTAAATGAGGTATCTGAAGCAGTCAGATTCACAGGAGCAGAAAGTAGAATGACAGTTGCCAGGGGCCAGGTGGAGGGGAATTAGAAAGTTGTGTTTAATGGGTATAAAGTTTCAATCATGCAAGGTGAAAAAGAGATCTGCTGTACAACAATGTGCATACAGTTAATACTGTACCGTACACTTAAAATTTTGTTAAGAGGCTAGATTTCATGTTATGTGTCTTTTACAATTAAAAAAAAAGGGGGGGGCTTCCCTGGTGGCGCAGTGGTTGGGAGTCCGCCTGCAGATGCAGGGGACGCAGGTTCATGCCCCGGTCCGGGAAGATCCCACATGTGCGGAGCGGCTAGGCCCGTGAGCCATGGCTGTTGAGCCTGAGCATCCAGAGCCTGTGCTCTGCAACGGGAGAGGCCAGAGCAGTGAGAGGCCTGCGTACCGCAAAAAAAAAAAAAAAAAAAAAGAATGCTGTCCCAGAAAGTTGCACCATTCACCAAGCTTGGTGGAAAAACAATCCCGTGTTTCTGACAAAGACCAAGACTTCAGGTTCAACCTTACAAACTGTCACTGGAAGTTAAAAAGAAAATGATTTAGCCCACCCATTCCCCACTATTTTAGGCTGTAATTGTTCTTAAACTGCACTTTTGTAAACAGAGCAAAACATTCTCTGCTCCTAAATAAGACAAGTCCATTAAATATGTTTTTTAAAAAAGGGCTCTCTGTGTAACCCTGCTAATCACCAGCTCTGGAAGCCACCATGAATGAAAGCAGAGAGAGTAAGAGATGCAGGAAGCCCCAGGTTAAGTGTGTAAAGGAAAAAATATACCAGACAAATCCTTACCAGTCCCCTGCCAAGGGCCAGCCTTTGCTCTGGCGCCGGGCATCTGTAGGCAGAATGTGGAACTTGGAACACGCACTGGGACCTGGCACTGTTGCTTCCTTCTTTCTGCAGACCCTCACTGTTTGACCAGGCAGCTCGAATCCAAAGAGCCAGACTGTCACTGGGGAAGGCGGGCCAAACCAGCCAAAAGGAGGCCAAGAGGAATTTTCTTGGCACAGAGGCCTTGGCTGGGGGCTACGCTTGCATGCCCAGAATCTCAATTAAGTTGGCACATGGTGGGCTTCAGCTCTGGGGTGGGCTCACCTTAACCAAGCTGTCAGAAACAGGTACATATGTGAACCCAGGCAGCCAGTTTATTAAGTTACCAGTGAAAAATACAGCTGTCATGTTGGCAGGTCATGGCCCTCTTTTCCTGTATGAGAGTCGCGTGGCAAGCCAAATCCAAAGGTTGTTTTAGTGAGAAACCAGAGCAAGCAAAACTTGCCAGACAGTCTTTAAGAATGCCACACCAGCCACAGGGGCTGGCATGCTCTGGTCCATCAGGGAGGACATCCTCTCCAAGCCCAGACAGGGCTTGAGGAGGCATCGCCGGCTTCCACAGTATGGTTGCTGGAGTAAGACTGCTGGAATTCAGCTCCTACTTCTGCTCTTAACATTTGTATGACTTTGGGAAAGCAGCTCATGCCTTGAAGCCTCAGTTTCTCCATCCGTAAAATGGAAATAATAATAGCATGCACATCATAGGATTATTGTGAGGCTTAAATGAAAGAAGTGAATGTTTAGCATACTGCTAAGCACGAAGTTCATCTTCACTCTCGGTAGTTACTGTCATTATCAGCATCACTAGTACTATATTATTACTAGCTCTTCTCTGCTTTAAGCCTCATCACAGTCACTCTTTGTGTGTACAGAGTACTTATGACTTATTTGATTTCCACTCCCTAAAATAAGTGGAAACACATCCTAGTCTTGCTTCCTTATATTAAAATTAGTAGCCCTGCATGGAGTTTGGGAACCTCCCAGCACTTCATGGCACATTCACCCATGGTCTCAGGTGGCCAGCCATATCCTTGGTGATGGTAGGTAAAGTCCTAGAATTCTAGGGCTCTTGGGCTGAGGCTGGGGTAGAGTCATCCCGCAGCCTGTCACAGTCTCTGAAACTGCAGTCCTGAGTTCTCATACTTCTTCTGACTCCCACTTCTACTCAGTCTATCAGTGCTGGGACTTGAAGGCAGCTGCAGGGTGGGGCAAGGCTAAAAGTCAGGAATTGAACAAGTAAGTGTCTCTGCAGGAACTCGGGTGCCCGAGTAATGTGTCTGGCAGATGTAACTTCCAGTCTGTCTGGGATGGGGATTATGAGCCCACTTGAGCCTGTGGCTTGAACAAAACAACAAAACGAACTAAGAAATGTGAAACACACATGTCTGCTCTTGCACAAGGGCACAGGATTCTCCATTCAGATAAGGCAGGCTTGCACTGTAAGTGGCATCCACCCTGCCCATGTTTGGGGCTGGAGGCAGATCTAGAGCTCTCCAAGACAGTCTTACTCCCATAAACTATTCAGTACTGGGCTTCCCTGGTGGCGCAGTGGTTGAGAGTCCGCCTGCCGATGCAGGGGACACGGGTTTGTGCCCCAGTCCGGGAAGATCCCACATGCCGCGGAGCGGCTGGGCCCGTGAGCCATGGCCGCTGAGCCTGCGCATCCGGAGCCTGTGCTCTGCAACGGGAGAGGCCACAACAGTGAGAGGCCCGCGTACCGCAAAAAACAAACAAACAACTATTCAGTACTAGGGTTTCTTCATTGCCCCCCAGACATATCAGGCTCAGTCTTACCTAACAGCTCTTGATCATACAGTTCTCTCAGCTACAATGCCTTCCTCTGCTTCTCTCCACTTGCCTAAATCCCACCTACATCTTCAGCCCAGTTTGAGCCCCACTACCTCCTTGACCTCTGGACTCCTCCTCAAAATGACAGCATGGCCTATTTTCCAGATATAATTCAGAGCTGGATTCGGAGTCTTCTGATGCTCTAGTTACCTTCCTTCCTCCAGGAAATTCCTTGAGGACAAGAATCTCTTTCTCTAGCAGGGGCTGGATGCAGACAGGCACTGGTTAAACATGAATTGATTGGATTAAGGCCCTGAGGCTGGGGCGGGTTGCGGGGGGTG